TAACTTCTTCAATGTGAGATAAAAATAAGACAAAATTTAGCGGAACAGCATGTCTCTTTAATAGCCAATCACATGATTTAGCGGAACAGCATGTCTTTAGTAGCCAATCACATGATGCACTGGCAATACTGTATAGCGGAGGTTAGCTAAGCTTTGTAATGATAGCCGCAAATTTGAAAGTTTCAGATACGACAAACAAAAGCAAAATTTTCCCATTAATGGAATTTGTGGAGAAGTGGCAATAAAATGAAGATGATATAATAGAAGGTTTTCCATTGCAATAACAATGATCCAATCATGAATAAACTAATAGATCGTGAAATTTGTAGTTTGGCTCTGAATCCAGAAAATATTGCTACCGATAGTGAAGACAGTGAAAGAGAGGTTGTTTAGAACGAAAGAGGTTTGATGGATAATTTAGTGGGAATTCTCAGCACAGTAGTTACAGTACTTGAACGATGGAACTTTGTAACTGAACAAAAAATTTGTCTATCTATAGAATTAAAGAGAAAGTATTAGCTTAACAAAACAATATACACTGAAAGAAATATTTAATAAACCAAACAAATACTAAGCTCTTCTTTTCTTTCCAAACTACTATTTAATATTTCAGATTTAAACTGATGATCTAATATCCGGAATTGCAGAAGTCCTGATGAGTCCAGATCTCAGACTTTGCATAAAACCTTGCAAATGTCATTCTGAAATATAATGTTCAGAAAATGATAAACACAGGGTTCGTACACATTTCTGCGCATGGAAATTAAGTATTTTTAAGTGCCATTAATGAAAAAAAAAATTAAGACGTCTCAGAAAATTGGTATTGAATAAATTCAATTTAAGATATTATCTGTACCTGAACTTCTCTTTTGTAATACCAACCTAAGAATAAAATAGATTCGTAAGCAGGATGCATTATTATTAAACATAATTTAATAAACGTAATTATAAAGCAAATTTGAAAATAAAATCAACTTTATATAATTTATCAAATACCATTAACTATTTTACACTTATAATTGTTGGACATATTTGAAAGAATATTAGCGACATTTTATTAACGTTTTACTAAAAGTTACCTTCATTAATTAAGATACAATAACATGCAAAACAAATATTACTTTAGAAGTCAAATAACAAAAATCAGCGTTATATTTTCAAATTTTCACAGGACTAGTTTCGATGGTTTTAAAGAACCATCATCCTCAGTTGCAAAAGTGCAAATGAACGAGATTAGATATAGTGATTAGATAAGATAAGAAAGCCAGACAGGCGATAAGCCACTGGCGCCATCTGTTGATGAAACCAGAACTAAAACCAAAGATGGATTGGAATTAGGGTCGTTAACTAGAACAGAAAGATTTTTTTGATTTTGAAAAGCTTCTAGAAAATCCAGTTCACCAATGGAAGATGTTTCTTGAATAATTTTGGCAGCAGAAAAATTGAAAGTGTGATTAAAGCAATAGCTATTGACAGGGGCTTTTCACCCAACATTATTAATCAAGCAATTAAAAAAATTCTCATCTCAACACACCAAAAGGCACACTCTTGTTTTAGGATTTTATAAAATTTTTGTTGTCATTCCCTTCTTTCCATCCATTAGCTATAAAGTTTCACGTATTTTGCAGAAATTTAACTTTCAGGTCGTTTATTCTCCCATCAATACAAATTTTAAGTTCCATCTCAAGGACCCCATTCCGGATATGAATTCCTGGGGTATTGACAGGATTCCTTGTCAGTGTGGCTTAATTTACACTGGCCAAACTAAGAGAGCCTTAAAATTTCGCGTTAAGGAACATGAGGCATATGTTAGAAAAAAGGAAACACAGAAGTCTTCTGTTGCCCAACATGGTTGGTCCGAAAATCACACTTTCAATTTTTCGCCTGCTAAAATTATTCAAAAAACTTCTTTTTATTGGTGAACTGGATTTTCTAGAGGCTTCTTACATTAAAAAAAATCTTTCTGTTCTAGTTAACGACCCTAATTCCAATCCATCTTTACCTTCAGCCTTTAAAGAAATTATGTTTTAGTTCTGGTTTCATCAGCAGATGGCGCCAGTGGCGTATCTCCTGTCCAGTTTTTTTTTATCTTACCTAATCATTATATCTTATCTCGTTCTTTTGCACTTTTGCAGCTGAGGATGATGGTTCGGTAAAACCATCGAAACTAGTCCTTTGAAAATATAACGCTGATTTTTGTTGTTTGAATTAAAAAGTTACCTTCATGTTGACTATTTTCTTTTGTTTGTTCTTTTATGTCTCATTTTGTTATGTACATGCTCAGTCTAGAGATTTAGTATATAGCAGGTAGGTTTTATGTCAAACAGAAGAGGTTAAAATGAGAAGTAAAATCATAATCAGCATGATTCACAACAGGAGATTTTCTTTTGGTACCACTGCTGCTTACCTAGAGACCTGCTCATCTGAACAAACCTGAAAGCCTGATGTAAGCACGGTTAACAAGTTTGAAAGTTAATTGGGCTCTGTCTGACGGAGTTCATGTCGTAGCTACGTGTAGAGTTCCTGAGGTTGTAACCCTGTTAATATACTTTAAGGTTCCAACAAGCCACTAAAGTACTAGAGGTGATAAGTTTCGTATTAACTCTCACTAGATGCAAAGAATAAGTTTAACATTTTTTGTTCTGTACCTTGTGACCACGGTAAGGATTCATGAAAGGCAATAGCTCACTTTAATATGCAGAGATAACTTTTAAGGATGAGCAGTAAGTTACAAATAATTAAATTAGGTAGTTAGATACACTTAGTCATTATAGATTTACATGGCCACTATTAAATTTTACTTTTTTTTAAAAATATTTGTTAAAAACACTATTAAAATCATAATCCAAAAATATTTTACAGTTGAAAATGCATGTAATTTATGACATTGATTCTTAAACGAGATTAGGATTACATTAAAATCCGTTTGACACATTAAAAGCTACAAACGCTCAACAAAGCAACAACACTCAACAGAATTCAGCAAAAGCAACAACACTCAACAGAATTCAGCAAAAGCAACAACACTCATTAAGACAACACTCAGCAACAACACTCAAGAAAATATTTATGCGCCTTTTTAACTGGAAGCCTTCCCAGGCCTTTAAGCTGATTATATCAAGTGCATTCTTTTTAATCATTTTTTCTAATAATTAGAAATTTTATTCAATATACAAGCCAATGTTCCCACTAGTTTCTGCATGCTTTATCTCCTAACTTGTCAATATCTTGACAATGTATCTAAGAGGCTTCACTTGATCTGGCAAAAGTTAAATAGTCCAAAACCTCTGACAGACGGGAAGCAAATTATCACTATATCTGAAAGTAACTACAAAGTCAGATAAAGGAGAACATAAAGACACGTTTTTCTGTTAGCAAAATTAAGTGTAGCTCGTTGTGATGTAATTAAACAGAAACAGTCAAATTCAAATTAAAAATGTGAACTAGTAATCAAAGAATATATAATTTAAATTTAACCTAAACTGGTTCAGTAATTTTATCATTATAATAAATTCAAATGTCGGCACAATAATGCAAAGATGCATAATTACAAATTATCAGAGTTGGCAGGAACTAATGCAACATGTAAGTGTAGACCAGAAACACGCTCTGTCTTCAATCCAAAAACCTCAGTTTAAAAACTATCTAAATGATTTGCATTATGGTGTATTCAGTTTTTTTCTTCAATACGTTTACTCTTCAATTTAGAATTTTTGGATTTCATTAAATTTTTCTGTTATTTAAAAAACCAAATGCATTTAGAATGCATAGAAAAGGTTTCTAATTCTATTTAGCCCAATGAAAATTCGGAATAAATATGAAATGGTATATGGAAAGGGCCGGTTACACAGCTAGTGTAGCAGAAATTTTAGAATTTAATGACACACTGAGCAACAAAATCTAAACATGGCAAAACATTTAGAATTTAGCAGAATTTAGACACACGCTAGGCACCAGAATTTAGTATCCACAGAGACTGGATCAGGTAGGAAAATGCCCTGTGCATTGAGGCAGATAAGATGAATCTTTTAAATTGTTAGCTTTCAATTTCTTTACTAAAAGAAAAATCCCTCACTGCAGATACCTGCCCATGTGATAAGACTGGAAGCATTTTTGGTGTGTCTTATGAAAAGTATAGAAAATGAAGGGAAGATAAACATATTAATAAAAAGACTTCTAGTATCAGAAACAAAACATTAAAATATTATGTTTTCATTGTTCTTACAAAAATTCTCCAAAAGGTAATAAAGTCATCCCAGACTTTCTGTAAAATAATCCATTATGTGTTAATACCATAGAAGACCATTACAGAATTTTTTTTAATTTAGTAAATTGCTTAGGCATTACTTTTTAATTATTATTTTAGAATTAATTACTGGATGTAGTTATTAGTTATTTTAATACAGATATTTAAAACCAGAATGTTAAACTGATATCGCACTTTGAAATACACAAATTGTCGTTTATTAAACTGAGCTGCTTAATAAACTAAAATACGTTTGAAATGGACTGAGTTAAAAATGCATGGCAACACTTAATACTATATCAAAAATTTGGTAATTTTGCCACTGAATTTCATGCATCAAAAGTGCAAAGAAAATGATGTTTAATAATAAAGTTAAAAAGACGAAGATATTGCGTCATCAGGCGTGAATTCAAGAGCAGATAGATAAACTGTGAGCTCAATAAGATAGGAAGAAAATTATTAAAAACCCTCTGGTGCAATATTAAAATCTGAATCATATCAGATGTTTTCTTCCTTTTTAAGATAAGTGATACATTTTAGTTTCTTATGCTAAAATTAAGAGATCAGAAAAGTAAAACTTGTATACAGACGAAAAATGTAAAACGAAAATAATAACGTAAAGAACATACAGTAATCAGTATTTATATACAAATTTTGAACACATATTAAATGAATGTAAATGGAAGTATATTTTAAAAACTTTTACACTTTTCAGAGGAGATCTTTAACTGATACAGTAATATCACATACTTACCTGCAATGGATTACAACTGGACTCTCAGTCTTGCTATCGTATGCACGTGCTTTTCTCAAGAAGTTTACAAATGGTGTTGTATTGGAAGGTACACCATGATCAGGCCAAGTGGTAAAGTGATAATGCTTAATTTCTCTGGATTCTTGACCCTAAAGTAAAAATATTATCATTAGAAGATGGCAGACTTCTATCATCTTAAATACGTCAAAATTTAAATGTGTTCTTAAACACTTTGAAAGTTAAATGGATTTACAGAATATTGGTTTTTGAAATTTCTTAAATATAATCAAATTTTCCTGTTGATTACAATACAAAATATTGGGAATCATTTTAGTGTTCCCATAACGAACTTGCATCAGTTTTGATCTGTTAAGTTTCTCATATAAATTTACTTGTTAAACTGTCATTTTATTGCATTAATCATTTATAAATCATTCTTCTGAAACAGTACTTCTCACACAGATCACTTGAAAAAATTTGAAGTGAAGTAAATGTATATTACATGTATGTTATCTTTCCTTTGGTCTAAAAGTCTGGCTAAAGAGTAGAGCAGCAATGCTTTACCTAAGATTCCTCAGTCCCATATTAGTATCAATTTTACCACTTCTAAATATTTCATTGTAAGCTGCAATAAGTTTGCTTATTTCTGTAGTTTGTTTAGTGCATTTTCTCTTAGTTTTTAGAGGTTACAATGTTGGTTTTCATTTTGAAACTGCAATGAAGGAAGAAAATGAAGGTAAAAATGACCAGATATTATATTCCATTTAATAGACTTACAAAACTGTGCAATGAATTAAAGCATTTTGTATGTGCAAAGTGAAAATGGTAAAGACTATAAAAACGTTTTAAATCTTGAAAAGTCATAAAATTTTCAATAATAAAAGAAAAAGCAGAATATGCAAACATTTAGTTAAAAAAGTTGATTTTTAATTAACAGCATTCCGGTTGAAAGTAATAAATGTTATTTTTTTGCATTGTAAAATAGTTCGTTGCTTATATTTTTTCCACATTTATCATTTCCCCTACCTCACTAAGAAGTGTTAGATCAAATTTCCTCTGTACGTTCTTTAAATCTGTTTAATTTTTTGGAAAAGATAATAGCTCTTTTGAAGAATCTTTTGCACAGAATTATTGGATACAGATGATAGGAAAAAATAAATATACTACTTACTTTAGATATGCAGAATGTTCTTACAGTAAAATCTGCCAAACTGTACGTACATTGATGTTCTACAAATATCTTTCCATACACATCTGCTTCATCAGGCCAATATTTTTCACATTTTACCTAATAAATATATGATAATTCTTCTCTTATGATGCAGAAGTAAAAACGATTTCATGTACTCAAAAGAGTTCAAAAGCTGAAGAAATAAAAGTGTCATAAATATTTTTTGGACATTATTCAAAGAAAAAAATGCTTTGCAATAATTTAAGAACAGAATACATACAAATAGCTCACCTTTCCACTTTCTACCAAATTAGTTGTCATGAGTATTTTAGATGAATTTTCCTTCCAAATCATGCGCCAGAAATCTATGATTGTTGAAGCTACAGGCCCTATTGTTGAAAGTGAATATGCAGTCAAAGTAGAATTTTAAAAACAAATAAAACTAAAAAATATTTCAGATTTCTGCGATAATGAGTTTGCAGCATTTAAGTGCATTACACAAGGCAATGATAGAAACGGTAAATTACGGAATCTGAATGATCATTATTAAGAAATACTGCATGCTAATAATAAAGGAACATCTCAGAAAGTAAATGGGCTATGAAATAATAATTGCACCATTCTCATAAGTAAATAATTTTGAATGTCATCCAAAATTTTTGAAAAAACAGATCATGCAATGAAAGATAAATTACAGCAACTTAATGTCAACATTTTTGATTAAAAGTAATACATATGCAGGAATATATTTGTAAAGCATATTTTTAGTAATACTAATTATTATTAAAACAATATACAATGATTTTAATAAGTCTAGCTAGAGTAATTTTACTAGTCCAGTCAATAATTAATAATAATACTGATGGAAAACTGTGTTTATTGCTTTTAAATCGCTTAGTGTGTGGAAGATAAATATACTTAATTTCAAGCAGTGGCAACATATATTTCTTTTAAATACCTGAATTTGCTGATTAATTTTGAAAAAAAAATATATTATGCTGAGTGACAACACCTTTCTTTTAAACGGAGGAATTCTTCAATCAAATTTGATAGACAGGCGCTTTAAGCTTTGCTGAGTGGAGACATTTCTTTCAATTTACTGAGTTTCTGATTAAATTTGAAACAAATATCTTATGCTTTGCCAAGTGGCAACACATTGCTTTTAAATTGTCGAGTTTGTTAATAAAAATGTCCTGACATTCGCACAAAATATGCAATAAAAAAATAAATTAAAAAAAAATACAAAATTCGAGCATTGAGATGCACATGTTCGGGAAGAGGACTATGTATTAAAAATTTGGTAGTTCTGGATCATGATGTTTCTCCATAATGCAAGGAACATATATGCATACATATTCTTCGTTGTTTAATCACAGAAATATTATTTTTACACATCAAATATAACAATAATAATTTTATTTACATATCACAGAGCTTATTTACTTAATCAAAGTATGCATGAATCAAAGTATGCATATTTCTTTTAAACAAGTTTAAATCTGTAGATGAAAAAACTAAGAATATTATATGTGGCTTGCCTAAGATATATTTAAACATGGCAAAAATTTTAGTACCAAATATAAATAATTCCTAAAGTTTTATTTATTTTGTAAATTCAAATAAAATAAACGAAACACATTATCACGTTATCAAAACTGCCCGAGTTAATTATTTATAGAGAAGACAGGAACTTAATTCATATCTCAGATAAATGAAACTCGTAACAGTAAATGTAATTGAAGGCAGTTTTCAGTTTGGTAACAGAACATTGATATGGTATTCACCTGTAAAGTACTATAAGGGAAGACAATATTAATTTTGATACCAGTGTTGTTATGGTACGGTTGTTAAAGTGTTAATATGACACTGATGCGGTCCCATAGGATTTCAACTGAATAACATTGAGATTATAATACTTAAAAGAGTATTTACATTAATTAAATATATAGACAACATTAAAGTAAAACATGTAAAAGTTAATATTGAATTTCATTGTTTTAGAATGGCTTTCAAAAGTAACATTTTTTACAGAAATCGAACAAAACAAACAAGTAAATAGGATTTATCACCTGTAATTAGTTAATATGTTTCTTACTTATATTTCTGAAGAAAATAACATTATGTCACTTAGAAAGGAACCCACATAATTACAAGTATTTTAAAAAACTACTTGCAAAAATATAACATGCGAGATAGATGCAATGTTTTCAAAAATGCTAATTTTGATCCAAACACAAATTTTCTTTTTACGCCCGCACACATGCTTTGAAATATGTTGAATAGTTTAAATATGCACAAGTTCCACATGCTGGAAAAAATCTGTAAGATCATATGCAGCAACACTCCAAATTTTCCAATGAACTTTTCTTATTTTAAGACTGAGGTCATTTATACTATTATTACATAAAATCATATGAGACTAAATGTTCTTCGGCATTACTCTAATTCTAAACTAGTTAAAGATCTAATTAAAAAAAAAGATTTACCAAAAACTGAAACTGAGTTTTAGAAATAGCTTATGAGCAGGACACTTTGGATAATTTTTATGCATAAATAACATTTAAAACGATGCACCTGTTGTGAATGATTCTGCCATTTGACTTGTTATTTAGTAGTCATATTTGAAAGCTGTGTAATTTTTAATTCTTGAAGAATGGTAACCTGTTGCAACTCATTATTGTACAAATTACCTTGGAAAAATAACAGTAAAAGTGGTGGCAAAAGAAGCTTGCTGTTCAAGTCAAAGTGGTTTGAAAAGAAAATGACAAAGCAAAAACAGTTAACATTTCTGCAATAACCTGTGAAGTACACTGCTGGCCATCCAAATTGCAACACCAAGAAAGACAAGAGATATCACAACAAGACTTATTTAGTAGATAACATGTTGACCAAGTATCAAATGATTAAATTTATAGACTTCTGTGAAGTGTGGTTCCTTCCAGAATCAGTAGCCAGAGTAGCCGCATTGTTGGACATCACCGCTGCCATACGCCTCGGCATTGATTAAAAGAGACTTTGGATATGTTCTTGGGGTACAGCAGACGAAGTAGCTTCCACACGTTGCCAAAGTTGATCTGGTGTGGCAGCTTGGGATGTAATCTGGGTCAATCGTTCAGCTACCATGGACCACATGATTTCTATCAGCGAAAGATCCGTATAGCGAGCCGGCCAAAGAAGCAATTCAATCTGGCGATTGACGAAGAACCTTTGGACAATGCGTGCCACGTGTGGTCGCGCATTATCCTGTTGAAGTATGGCTGTGGGCAAGCCCTGAAGGTAAGGAAGAACAACTGGCTCCAACACCTCGGAGATGTAGCGCTGGCTGTTTAAAGTAACCGACAATGCGTACAAGAGGAGTGCGAGAGTGATATCCAATACCGGCTCATACCATATTACCCGGTGCAGGACCAGTGTGGCAATGCATAACGCAGCTGTTCAGGATCTGCACGGTGTCTCCAGACTCGAATCCGACCATCGTGGTGTTGCAGACAGAAGCGTGACTCGTCAGTAAAAACAATTTCATTAAATTCTGCCGTCCACATCCTTCTTTCATCGCACCATTTTTGGCGGAGACGTCTGTGGTTCTGCGTTAAGGGTAGACGAAGTAATGGACGTCTTGCGGACAGACAACTCAGCTGTAAACGGCTTCGAATGGTACGCGCAGACACTGGATGCGTTACAGACTGAATGTGCTGTGCTATGGTTCGTGATGTGACTGAGCGATCCGTCACAGCCATGCACACAATGTTCCTGTTATCACGTGAAGTGGTGCACTGAGGTGGATGCGATCGAACACGTCGGTCCTTTCGTACCCTCCTGCATCCAACGGTCACATATCCGCATTACAGTTGTTTGGTTTCGTCCAACACGGCTACGGATTTCTCTGAAAGATAACCCACACTTTCGGTAGGCCACTATTCTTCCTTTGTTGAACTCGGATACTTGATCAAACGATGATCATTGTTTACTATGAGGTATAATGGATCTTTTTTTTGAAAAAAACACAAGAAAAACACAATTGCCGAACTCGAAATCGTCGAAAACTCCAAGCCTTAAATAGCGTGAAGTGTCGCCATAGACGCGCGTGATGTGCGTCTGCGCTGAAATTCTAATCATTTGCATATCTCATCTCCGCTAATGCATGTTGTAAATTTCAGGTTATTTGTATGCTTTCTTCAGAGTGTTGAATTGACGGTGGCCAGCAGTGTAGTAACATGCTGATTTGCTTTATGTGATACTGGTCTTGTGAACGTCAAGTGCAATTGAAAAGTTTTATTCAAAATCAATAGTTGGTAAAGCCTCCACGAGAGGTAATTACAGCGTGGAACCTCCGAGGAATATTTTCCACAAGTCTTTGTGTGACAGCTAGTGGTGTTTCTTCCACTCGGCTTGGAGAAGACATAGAAGTTCCTTCACCGATTTTGCACAGGTGGTGCACCCCTGAATTCGGCGATGCAACTCGTCCCAGAGGTTTTCGATAGGGTTCAGGTCTGGACTCTGGGCAGGCCAGTCCATTCGATGAACTCCATTGGCACCATACCAAGCCTTGGTTAACGTCGAAACATGACAACTGGCATTGTCGACCTGAAAGTAACAGGGGTCCAACCCGTAAGACTGCCACAACGTAGGAAGCACATTGTCATCCAAAATAGTACAGTGGGCATCGGAGTTGAGCTTACCATGAATGGGGACCAAGGGTCCCAGCCCATACCAGGAGAAACACCCCCAGACCATATTTCCACCTCCGCCGAACTTGACTGTTGGCACAATGCATTCTGGCAGGAGACGTTCTCCAGGTAGACGCCAGACCCAGACCCTGCCATCCGAACGGTAGAGGGTGAACCTTGATTCGTCACTCTAAAGAACCCGTTTCCACTGATCTACGGTCCAATTTCGATGTGCTTTGCACCACATTAACCGAGCAGCGCGATTGGACTTTGTGATGAAAGGCTTATGGGCAGCAGCACGACCATGAAAACCAAGCAGATGTGCTTCCTTACGGATGGTATTCATTGAAACAATACTCCCGGATGCCTGTTGAAACTCCTCGCGGATGAGGGCCACCGGTTGTGCGGTTCTTCCGAATTTCTCTGGACAGCTTCGTCGGTCTCTATCTCCCAGTTTCGTTGGTCTGCCGACTCGGGGCACATTCCGACAATCACCGCTCACCTTCCACTTCTTAATCACATAGGCCACTGTCGATTTTGGGTACTTCAGATCGCTAGATATGTCCCTTAAGGATCGGCCACATTTGTGATACCCGATAATTATACCTTTCTCGAAATCAGAGAGCTCTGAACTGCGAGGCATCTTGCATGCGACTAAAACCGATGCTATTTCCTACACGATATATACCGGCGGAGTCCGTGACGTACCTTAGGATCGCAGATATCGTCATTTGCATAGGTGTCCAAATACTTATTGGTAGTCAGTGTATATTAAAGCTCACAATAAACGATCGAATTATATTTGAAATAAATTAAGTAGAAAATACAGTATTTTAAGAGCTTTCAAATGTGACATCATCAATTGAGAATGCAAATAATTTTTAATTTGAAAATAAGTACTCGAAATTAAAAAAAAAGAAAATTCCCCACTCTGAATAATGATTAAAACATCATAAAGGAAGTATAAAACCACCAACACTGGATGTTTAGTTTTAATGCAAATTACAAAGAATCTTAACTCGTTGATACGGCCCATAGTGGTAAAAACCGAACAACTGCTGTTTTCACCAGTCAGGTGTCTGATTTGTCATTAGAAAGGCCAGAGAGAAGAGTTAAATGGAGAAAAGCATTTTTGAGAAAGAACAAATTAAATGCACTAGTATTTTATTTTTTAAATGCATTAGGAAACAAAATTTACCTTGAGTTGCAATATATTTTTCGGACTTCTTGTATCCCTGAAATAAAAAAAGCTTTTAATTAAAGTGTACTTCATAAATAACTTGTACTAAAATTTTAGATTTGCTACTACGTTTATTATTATCTTCCAATCACTTACATCAATATAACTAGCATGAATATAATCAGAGTGAGGATTATTATCAATAACATCCAGAATAACTCTGCTATGATCATCTAAAAAAGTAAAAAGATGGAACTTGAAGTAAGCGTTACATCATCAAATTATTTAAAGCAGTAATTCCTCTTTTATCCCATGCACCCTTTTAACATTAGTAGCCAATCATCCCCCCCCCCTCCTTTCCAAAATTCAAAACCATACATACACATTTATTTCAACTTAGATTACTTTTTAATTTCCCTTATAAATTAAACAAAATAAAAGTATAGAAAATGTGGATAAATACCAAAACTTGAAAAATAGTAGTTTTTATACTCATAAATTAAATCAAATTCTTAGCAGGTAAATAACTGGCTGGCTGCATTCTCTCCCTCCCCCCCCGAAGCTATGAAATTCTTCTTGGTGAGAACCTGATTTAAAATTTTAAGCAAGGTGCATGTCAAACTGCTCAGGAAATAACAATAAGTGGGGCAATTATTAAGAAGATCTATGAAGTTCTTGCTCCTCTCCTTTTCAATACTACATTCAGTTTTAAATTTTTTAATAACAAGAAAATTAGAAAAGCAGAAATAGTTATGAGACTCGTTTTTATCTTGAATGTATAGAAAATATTTTAAATAAAGAATATGTTAGACATTAAATTATATGTTAAAAATATAACAGAAAAAATAACAGCATAATAAAGATAAAAAAAGTTTATCAGACAGCAGAGATACATTTTAAGTAAATTTTAAAATATCTGTAAACATAGTAAAAGTTAAATTTTTTTGTAAAAGCTTAACTTCTCCTCATCTTAAAAACAACTGCATTAATCATCATAAAATACAGTACATTTTAGCATAGAAAATATACAAGTATAAAATGGAGAGGCTATTTTTTATAGTTTCAGGAATAACATTAAAGGCATACTAAAAATTTCACAAACATACATGGTAGGATGTTTCTATATCTATTCTTTGGTTTATTCTTTGACATTTTTGCAGTGTTACATGGATAAATTTGTCCTTTCGGAAGACGCTAATAAAAGCACAAGAAAAATATTATATAATAGTAACAATATATTTCTAATTAAACAGATACAGTTGATGATTAAACAATGTGGATTTCAATTATATGTTTAAATAATAACTGTATGTTCATAATTACAAAGCAAAGAAGTTAGCCATGTTTAATTCATTTAAAATTTTTAATTATGAAAAATTAGTAAAAAGAAATGTTTGGCAATTAAAGTGTTAGTCAATCTTATCTTTAAAATAATCTTAAATAAGCATTAATTAAAAAACACAAAAGACAAACTGTAAATTTATTATTCATTCTTTAGTGTTCCAATTAGACGCATAAGGGGTAATTAATTAAAATATTAAACAAGAACAATTAAGGAATTCTAAATACATGTTTCATCCTTCTTGATTATTTGAGTGAACAAATTTAAAATAATATACAAAGATGTTTTACAGTCTCACCAGCGGCAGAGCGGTTACAGCCGCTGAACACTGGTAGTTCAATCCGGGGTTCTAGTCCCGGTCAACGGGCTGGCTGCATGGGCGTTTTCGTGGTTTTCCCAATGTGTAACGTGGATACGAGCCAGTTTCCCTTAAAAAGACCTCCACGGGGCATCCCTCCCTTTCCGTGTAATGCCTAAGGGCGGAGCACGTAATAATAATAAAAAAAAAAAAAGAAAAAAAAAAAAAAAAAAAAGAAAAAAACTAATTCTCCATTCTCAAATAATCAAATACGTAATCAGATCTAAAAAAATGCAAAAATTCAAAAAGAAAAAAATACAAAAAGAGAAAGCATTATAATGCAAAGAAATAACAGAAACTCTAGATTTAATTCGAGTCAGATTTATAATAAAAATGCAAAAAGCCAAAATATGCAAAAGACTTAATAAATTTGTTGTTCATTCTTTTTCAGTCTCCACAAAGTGCCTGGTAAGTTCATTGGCCTTTGCCTGAAGCATATGCTCCACCTTTGTCACCTTTTTCCTTCAAATTTTTTCTATGAGTAGAAGTTACAGAGTTTCGCTTTTTTCTTATGGTAACAACTACTGATTTGAATAAACTGTATTTGTAACAGATATCGATTTAGCTGCGTCCATTTTGTAGTTTTCGAATAATATTCATCTTATTTTCAATTGAAGCTTTATGTTTACAGCTGGCAATGCAGATGAAAGTTTGATACAGAATGCAGGGATTTGGGTCAAAGAATATGTCAGAATTTTGCTTTTCTGAAAAACGTGAATTAATTTCATAAACAACATGTTTTATACAATGTCCAGTGAGAACAAAATCATTTCCCCAAGATATGCGTGACTGTAACACAAGTACTCAATAACCTTTACCAAAAATATTTTGTGTCCCACAAAAGTCCTAAAGAATTCCAAACACTTATTAGGAGGATAGAACTTGGAGAGCATTTATGCTCAAATAATTAGGACCAATAAGGACCAAAACGTTTCTTTCCCTGAAAGAAGAATCAACCGTAAAACCACAAGATTCAGTACTTTCCATTCCTTGAATAGCAAATATTTCTATTATAACATCAGCCTTGAATGGAGTTCTGTCTGGTAACCCAATCAAATAATTTCAATAGAATCAGAGAATTCACATTTTTTTCTTCAATGGTCATATTCACTGTATGGTGTCCTAAGATATATGCTTACTGCATCTTTATTCTCCTGGAACTGGATCTTCTAAGAGAACTAAAAGAAGTGCCTCACATAGCTTTGTTTTAGAGCACAGAGAAAAGTGGGAATGAATATAAAAGAAAAGTAATGCAAAGGAGATTTCCCTTCTGAAAGGAATGTGGAATACAGATAAAATAGGAATCTTAATATCCAAAATGTAAATGATTTTACAGATTTTTTACTTCATAATTTGCAGAAACTTTGGAAAAATATTTAAAAATAGCTTTAATTGGAGATATCTATACAGTTTGTCATTTCCGATTTTCATAGTTTTGGAGGTTCGCTATAAGAGTAAAAAGTAACTTAAGTATAATAGCATAAAGTGTATAAGAAACTGGATGGGACCAATGTGCAGTTAGGGATAAGATAGATAACAAATGCCTTATTCTTAACCAATGTTCTTATTTCAGATGAAACAGTCTAGTTTTTAAAATAAATCACCATTTTACAGTTGTGGTCCAGGATAAGAGAATCACAGTAGGCTGAGGCTTCAGAACTCTGAATCAGTTCCATGTACTATTCGCTGCCTTTTTTTCTATTGTTGTTGACATGAAATTTGACTTGAATTCTTGAAAATGAACTTTTACCAATGGCCAAAAACTGACACTATGTATCCCTGCAAAATTAAGGTAGCCATAAGAAGTGACAAGATCTTTGATATTTTAAGCATGCTGACGATTTGGCTTCCTCGGTAATTAAAGTCTTTCATGTACATTTTTAGAAACATGCCATCTGCATTGAAAGTCTGTTTTGGACTAAACGTTTCTTCTGACTAAGTTTAGTTATTACTACAACCTTAACTGTTGAACGTTTTTCACCACATGTTGCATGTAACATTATAACACATCAGAACCTGAATGAAGCCAGCAAAATCTAACTTGTAATCTAATCATAGTTTCTTGGTAAAAGATTTGGCTTGTGCTTTACCAGAGCTACAGGCATGTCAACACCTTCATTATCAATTTCACCTAATTTAACGATTTCGTTAGAATCCTATTTAGCTCTTAAGGTCTCTCTTTCTTAATTGTTCTAATTTTACACACGTATCTCTTCGAATCACTGTAAGCATAGAAATTGGAAAAAAAATTATTTCGCTTTTGCTATGTTTGCTGTAGATTATGTAATAAACAAGCTTAAGACAATAGCCAAGATTTTTCAGATGATCTATTTTTCAGATAATCTATCTGTTATGGATGGATTATAGTATTATATTCCTCATTATGAAAAGCAATTTTTTTGTACCCATTAGAGCCAAGATTAGAAATATTGACAAGTTATGAATAAATGCACAGAAAACAACTAGAGAGACTTACAAGTGTTTTGAAAGTTAATTAACTTATGCGAAGGTTCCTACCACTAAAATTACTAGCAGGTCCGTATGATGATCTGGAAAGTCTGATAACTATCTAATCAAAATTAATTCTGGATAATTTATTGCCACATTGGTGATAACCTGTACATGTGACAAATAAAATATATATTATCTGGCAATTTATGTAATGGGTAAAGCTTCTGGTTAATAGATTGTTAAGTGTTCACGCTATGGCGAAATCAAAAGTAATATGTAGATTTTGGACAGTGCAAGGGCTGGGCACAATAATTCATCTCTTGTTCACTGGTCAACTATATTTTACATTTCTTCTAAATTTATATATATATATAATAAAAGTGATAAAGGATCTTTAATCATTTTTATTTTTAGATATGAATGTGCAAAAAACAAAGCTTGGATAACTTTATACATATTTAAAAAAATAATCAAAATCAAATTAAAAATTTTTTTAACATAAATTGCCATATAGTACGTTCTCAGATTAGAATATGTAAAAATTCAAGCAAAAAATTAAATACTCAATACCTACCAAAAATTCATCTTTGATCTTATTATTTTGTATATTGTTTTTTAAATACTGCAATAGATCTTTTACTGCAATCCTGTTAGTCAGATCTTCACAAACTGATTCTGTCTCAATAATAGCCATTTCATCCAAAGCTTCATTACATGCAGAAAATTCATGTTCGGTTGTCTCTACACGTAAGTTTTACAAATGAAATATTAAATTAAAATATTCTTTCAAAATGCTACATTTATATACACATATTTACAAAATATTTTAGTATTTCATGTATCAGACTTTAACTAACGCATAAACAATCTCAGATATTTTCTTATCAGTTTGAAAGCATAATTTAATTAATTAATGTGAATAAAACATTTTTTGTTACACTTTTGTAAAACTATTTTTGTTTTAAAAAATAATCTTATATACAAATTTCGTAGTTTTATATTATTGCGAAAAGCCCAGCTGCGGTAAGATAGCTTCCTCGCAAAGCGGGTTTAAGGTTGCCAGAAAATGGCAAGGAAAGGCAGAATTGCCAGATTTGTCGCGAAATCCATTTGGCGACAAAATTGGCGATATGGCATGGACGAAGCGAGAACATTCTAGGACGAATTCTTACCGGTTTTCCCCAGAATATAGTCGAATGCAGGTCAAAACCTATAAATACCCTGCCTGTACGCGGAGTAGGAGAGTATCTTGAGAATATGTTGAGTTCAGTAGTAGTGTTTTGAGTTCAGAGATTAGCTTAAAAGCGACAGAACCGAGTCAGGAACTGTACTTTAGTGCTTTGTCGTAGGCTGTCTGCACCGTTATAGCCTGATAACCTGAAGGCCGTGTTGTTGATTGTTTCAGCGTGTTTATCGTAGTTTTTCGACGACTGTAACGCGTCTATGGAACTGTCCTGTGATGAAATACTAATTTGTGTTTTGATTCTTCACCAAGTGTTGTCATCAATCACTCCAAATCCATGAGCCCGTAGGACGTAACAATATGAATGCAAACATTAAGTTACTAACATACAAATTTATGAAGCCTTTATTTTATATAAAAATACACTTTTTTCATAGCAAAATATTCTGTTTTCTTAAAATTTTACAAGGTTATAAAATGCGAAGCAGATATAATACAGCACATTTTTGTCATCTCACACTTAATTTGCTTTATCATATAATAGAGTTTCAGAATTATTAGCAACATTCAAAAAAAGTTGAGCATTATTCCGAAAGACTACAAATGAGTGAAATAAATTATTAAGTGTTGAATAGCTGAAAATTAGAGGTTTTAACTTTTAATTTTAACTCAACTTAACTGACTTAAGTTGTCGGACAAAACACTCAAAAAATATAATATATCATAAGAACAATCGTATAGTGGTAGTACAATAAATTTTTAGATTCGCGTTGTGAGTAACCTAGTAAAAAAGTAAAATCAAAAACAATAACTCCAAATTGAATAAAACTCCATGTTTCTTAAAAAGCCTCCCGGCTCAAACAAAATAGAGTGATACGACAGACCACACAAATATATATATATATATATACAAAATAAATAAACAAATGCAATTCATTTTTAAACACACGCATTTATGGGTTTCTAGAATAAAGGTAACAGGGTAAACTGATCACTTCCCTACCATAATAATACTATGCAAAATAACACAGAATATCACACCAAATTACCGCTTACATTAATTAAGAAAAATTTTCAAATCCTACACTATCATAAATGTAACACTAAATATTTACTCATTTCATTTTTGATATCAAGTATTAATCAAGGTAATTTCCTTTAAGAGTAATGAAATTTGCAGTGTAACGATTAATTAATTTTTAAGCAGATTTAACCCTACGATATCATATTCAAATTTCAGCAAAGATTAAACTCACAACTCTAGCCTGGTTATTAAGAATAATCATTAAGGTAATTCAAAATAAATAAATATAAAAAAATCACTCACAGGGAGTTCATACATCCAACTCCAATATGTCGGGAAAGCCATCATCGACTGATTAATGCGGAGTTTTAATAGTTCAACAGATCGTCCAGCTTATTTCATTGACCTTCGAAGAAATCCACAAAACCCAAATCTTGCTGCTTGCCGGATGTAGGTCAATGGTACACACTGCTATCAAGAACGCTTCAATCAAATCAAAACCCCAGGAAAAATACTAGTATGAGGAGGCTTCTTTTTAAATCAGGAACAGTCTTTATCAAGAACGCTTCAATGAAATCAAAACCCAAGGAAAAATACTGGTATCAGGAAGCCTCTTTAAATCAGGATCAGTCTTTATCAGGAATGCTTCGATAAAACCAAGACCCAAATTAAAATACTAGTATCAGGAAGCTTCTTTTAAATCAGGAACGCTTCAATAAACCAGGAAAACGCCTTGAAAGGACCCAAATTGGAAAGGCACTGGGCAAGATAAACAAGAAATCCCACGGGGATCTGCATTACCTAGAGAATATCTATTTACAATTCTCGGAAAATAATAATGGAGGAACGACGATGATATAAATTTTTGTGATGAGCTCCAGCGCCTTTTTTTTCAACACAAATTCTCATCTGCTCAATGACGGGAATCCATATCCGCATCCTGCTAATTCACGTCGCTCGTGAGAGCAAGACCCGCAAAGGGTCAAGTCCCCCCACTCTTTTTCTCCTTTTCCTTTTTAGCCAAAAATCAGAATCCGAATGACTTCTAACATGGGGCAAGCTCCGAGGTAAACTCGTCTCTCCACCCCCGGAAATTTCATAGGCTTACAAAAAAAATCACAAAATTAAATCTCACCAATCCCAGAATTTTACTTTTTCTTTAACTGAGAAATTTCACCCCCATAACGAATCAAAACAAGGCAATCTGGACAATGCAGTCCTGACCATCTGTGCTTCAAAAAACAAAATCAGAACTAGACCCCCCAGCTAACAAGCGGAAACTAGCGATAAAAAAAATCCAATTACCTAAGCTTACAACAACCCCACTGTCTTGAAGGAAAAAATTGCAACTATAACAAAACGAAAGCAAGTGATCAATGAGAAAGCCGACATACGATTTTCGTTTCAGCGCCATTAATAACGACCCTAGTTAAGAAAACGACGACACCGTAACTGCTTCCACTGTTAGTAAAAGCCATAAACCAGGTGTCTCCTCGCAACCGTTTCCTGTCTTTGTTACACTACAGTGTCAAGAACTATCAGCTAAATAAGGTTTTAACAATTTAAGAATACTCTTTTTACTAGATTAAAATATACATGAGTACAAATGAAAATATTATAATAATGATACTTAAAATAAATATTAATTATAATTAATTATAATTAAATTCTCGAAATAACATAAGAATTTTATTAAAAGTAGCTAAAAATAAAAATAAAATAAAGAAACACATTAAATTCAAAATCTTAAAGAATTTCTTACCATTGAAAGAAAAAAATTTAACATTCAGATCAGAGAAATTTTGAGTTGCATATTTCTTGCTGGAAAAAAAAAAAAAAAAAAAAAAAAATACTGAAAAATAAACAGCAACTTTGTAGACAGCTTTTAAAATGGTGGCATTGTATAAGTATTACGATAAAATTATGTCTCATGAATTTATACTCACTAATAATAGAAAAGCACACCAATAACAAGTACAGTTGACAAAGGAATCAATACACTAAAGGAAATTCCCAATATATTATGTGCCTTTTGAGGATGACTAACTTCTACTAAGAGAAGAAATTACATTTTAAAAGTGAATACATTATTTAGTTAAAATTACTGAAGTTAGAAAGCATTTAAATTAAACATATGTATAAATATATAGATTTATATATAAGTAAAAACTTACTTTTTAAAAGCTCAGGAATATAATTTATATCACTTATCAAACTTTCCTGTCAGAATAAATATGTTATTAAGAATTTATAAAATTAAAAACAAATTTTTCTTTCTGCTAAATATATACAGAAAAAGGTTTTGATAAAATGCACTTGATGCATTTTGCATATAAATGCAATGATAAATCATATGCATTTATACTTCTTGAAATAAGCCTGTATATCGAAAGTTAATGTTAAATGAAATAAATATGAATTAACATTAAACTTAAGAGGAACGTTTTCTCGTAGATGACCAAAATCTATAAATTTTATGTGTAAGCTACCATTATAAATGAATTTACCAACAATATTCAAAACATTGAACAATTTGTTTAATATTAAGTATCATATTTCTTTGATTGGAAGATTCAGTCTTTTATTTCAATGCTCCCAACAAGGAAAAAAGACTTTAATCCTAAGATAATAGCATGAGAGAAATGTAAGCTAAAATTATGTCTGGTAAATATTTTTATAACTGATTTATAAGCAACAAAAAAGTCCTTATTTAAATTATTATTTGGAAAAAATATTATTTTGAAATAATTACTAATTTGATTCCAAGATATACTCAATTCATATTAATTTTTCTTTGTGTGAATAAAGGTAAATTTTAGGTCTGAAAAATATAGTATTTAATTATTTGTTTGGATCTTGAAATGATATCTTTGTATGCAAAATATTAAAACTAAATTCACATTCATTTCAATTTCTAAAAATAAATTAATAATACACATGTACTATATAATATGAATTTTATGATGCATAGAATATATTTTTATAAATTTTATAACATTTATGATTTTATTTATTGCTGTTGTTGGATAAGATAGCCCTATTAAATAAAAAAACTATTCATTCATGCATTTGTTAATATAAATTCTTATTCAGCTGTTTTGGTGATTTGTTGTTTTACATTACTTAAAAATGTACTCATATAAAGATATAAATATAAGATTATAAATACTTTTTACAAGAAAATTATTAAATGTCAGATATGTATTTTTTTGAAAAATGTGTTTCAAATTACTACACAAAATAGTGACCTTGGAAGAAAAATATAATGAACAATATGTAAGATATTTAGTTAACATAAAAATATATATAATAAAATGTAATTAAGAAAAATATGCATATTTATTATACGTATTTATATTCAGAGAAATAAACAAATTTCATCCAATGAAAATGTAATAAAATATTTTCAGACAGAACTCTAATAAAACAAAAATGTGAAAAAATATCTAATTATTAACAGTAGCAAATTTTTAAATTGCATTATTAATGCCATATATAATGAGGTTTTTTTCCTTCCGTTTTTATATTAATACAAAAGTTATTTAAAATTATACACTTGAATAGGTTTTAAGCGTTAAGTAATTGAATTAATGATATATCGTTCAGTGATAATATTTTGATCTCTGAAGATTATAATTTGATATTTTATGCTATTCATGCTTTTGAAAATGTGATTATCAACAATAAACAGAAAAAGTTCCATGCACGTTAGATACTTTGAGATATTTATTACCTATTGTATAAGAACTCTTTTAAATTATATTTCAGAAATGAATACAGGATTTTATAAGCCTAAACTTATATCAGTTTAAAAATTGATGAATTAGTTTCAGATAAAATAAACAATTACTACCCTTAGGACTTCCTGCTTTCTTCTGAAATTATGCTGTTCTAATCTCCTCTATGACAAGAATATAAAATTATTTCCTTTCTTTTTCACTTTTACCCAATCCACAAAATAATAAAAATTACTCGATAAAACATAGGATAATAATTCTCACAAACTCCAATTGAGAAATATTTATTTATGCTAAGTTTTCTCGTAGATGACCAAAAAATACAAATTTTATGTGTAAGCTGCCATTATAAATGACTTTACCAATAATATTCAAAACATTGAACAATTTGTTTAATATTTAGTATCATATTTCTTTGATCGGAAGATTCACTCTTTGACATAAATTGCTAAATTTCTTTTATGATATTTAAAAGGTATTCCAAATTTTTTAAATGAAAACTTCAATACTACAGCTTACGAAATTAGCGAAATTACGAAATTAGCAATGTAAGTATTATAATTGAACATGCAAGTATTCATAATTACTTTCAAACATTACTCAATATAAACAAATACACAGAAAATACTCTTAAATTTTGATGCTAAATTTGTAAAACACTTTAGGTATGATATAACAACAGTAGCTTGCACATTACAGCTTCTTAATCAGGATTCACAAATCAATACTTTTTATATAAAGAACATAAACTTACTTGGCCATAAAGAAGTAGCGCAGATATTCCTATTTTGTATGTCATTCCAAATTTCAGAGGTGGATTATAATAACCATTTTCACAGACTCCAGTTCCAATTGTAAAACATGTACCATTTTGGGGAACATAATTAATTTTACCAGCGACATACACAGATGTTATATTAATAGAACTTGAACAACTCATTACATGATATATATTATCAGATATAATATGGTCCAAAGAATCATTAGTAATCACAGGAACAATAACTATGAAATAAGCGCTAAAAATAAAACAAGATTTTTACTACATGAAAAACATCAAGAAAAGAAAGTGGTTAGATACTTTAATTTGCAGAAAAATATAAATATCCAAACAAGAGTTTCTAAAACTTTAAAAATATTAATGTAAAAGCTATTAATACATAAAAATTAATACATAAATTATATATGTATAATATGATATTAATTGTGATTCGACAGAAACAAATTTTATACCGACAAAAGCGTGAAAAAGATTAGGCATTGTTTTGCAAATAACTCATTTAGTTATCAGAATAACAAATATGCTCATTTTGTTAACAAGTGAAAACAGAATAAACACAAATGAACAATTACAATAATAAAAATTGATTACAAACTATCCTTTTTTTTAAGGGAAGGGGATTGCTATAATTTGCCTTTTAAAAATTTTATATTTGGAGATATATACTGCTTTGGGAGAATCATCCAAAACCAGTATACTACCTCATTCTTGAAAATTCAACTGGGGAGGAATTAAGGTCTTAATTTCCTAATTAAAAATAAGTTAAATTCAAAATTAATTTTTGATATGAAATTTCAAGACAGCCAAAAATACGTATCAGCAATAAACAGAAAAATTTCCAGGCATCTGATATTTTCAAATATATATATGCAAGATTTTTTTTAAATTATGCTTCAGAAATGAATATAGGTTGTATGAATCTAAACTTACATAAATTTAAAAATTGTGAATTTTTTTAAATAACATAAATAATAAAACAATAAACAATAATAAATATAACAGGCCTTAGATAACTGTTTCTTACTCACATTTTCCGCTTTTGAATTAATATTAAAGTGAAAAGTGTAGCCTTATGTAATCTGGAAGCAGTAATCTTCCTTACACTTGCGTATAAAATATTAACTAGTGCATGGGCTTGTTAGCATAAGATTGTAATAAAGCAAGGAGACCAAACTTCAGGACAGTAAGAGCCTCATTTTAAGATCCGGGAAATTTCAAGAGCCGCAACTAAATTTTCTAAAGTTCAAAATTCAATATTCACATCATTTTAAAAGTAATGAAGCCGAATTTTATGATGAGAAATGTTTGAAGTAAATTAAGTATAATTTTGCACTTTTTATGTAATTAATGTGTTTACATATGAATAAGAGCTTTTATTTTCCTGTTAAGTTCAGGAAATATGGTTTCTATAATTAATATACAAATTTAAAACTACTGTAAGATGTAATTGAGCATTATGTTTTTGAGGTAGAAAATCTTCCTCAACCTCGTTTTTAATTGTTGACTGGGCAGTGGTAAATTGAACTGAGAGATGAAATAGTCTTTCTGAGTACACTAAAATACATTTGAGTAAAGAATAAAGTTTTCTGATGATTTTCTTTAACTCATACAATCACCGCTGGAAAAAATGAAATAACTAAAATCGCGTAGCTTGAGCTATGGAGAAACTGCTCTTTGAGAAGGCTCTCATATTTGTTTGAGTATTGCAAAGCACACAAAAGCTACCATCCTAAGTAGAAAGATGCTTTCCTGGAGCATTATCTGAGGAAAGCTAGAAAGTAAAATTGGTTTAAAATAAGCTGTTAATTTTTTCAAAATTTTGCTTAAGAATTATAATTTAGTTTTTCTCATACAAAAGGGCAGATATAAATAACTGATCTGATTCTTCAGATGTAAACTGAATTATCAGTTACATCTTTTTTCCTTTAAGGATGGGACATGAAAACCCTCAGATCCTGCAAATCTTCAAAAATACTTGAATTTCCTTAACTCAAATTTTAGTAGATTTTTTTAATCATAACTTAAAAATCCTCGAATGCTTTAACTCAAATATTTGGAAAGATTGTTTTCATTACGTTCAGTAGAAGCTATTTTCACTAAAAAAACAATACAATTTTCCCAATTTCATTTTAATCTAAATTCAGAAATCCCCTCACGAAGGCTCTTAGAGCAACACTGTTTCAGTATAGCATCCAGCAAAATCTGCTAGAATTTTCAAGTATTAAAGGGCTGCCTTAGTCGAAAATGTCTGAAACTATATTAGAATTGTCTTGATAATTTCGGATGTAGCTAACCAACTATAAGTAGGTTCTAGAATTTTTTCTTACTCATGACATGGCATAAAACCACTACATTACAAAAATGACTCCAGTTGTGTACCAGTACATCTATTCAACCATAGTTGTTGAGTTTTGAACAGTTAAATGAAATGTAAAGTTTGTTCAAAAATGGCAAATTTTGAAGTTTAGAAAATGAATTTCAGAACTGAAGTGTTTAATTATTTGCTTAATTAAATACAAGTACTGACTAAAACAAAATTTTATTAACTGAATGTAAATTAATAGTAGAACAGGTTGTGCAATCAACCTTTAAAACTGAATCACATCGATTTTCTTACCAAAGCTTCTCACAGAACAAGTATTTCAGATGGATATTTAAATAATGCTTTAATTAACAACGAGCATTTTCTGATATAATATCACGAGGGATTTAACATAAAGTACATTACATACCTGTAGCAATGTACATTACCTTCGTAATATTAGCGGTTATAGAACCTTAAGTTTTAGGCAGTGTAGTTTCAGGTCAGAGGCTTATGTCATTATTTTTACTCTGAAAGCTTTTCTGCTTCAAAGCATATGGAGCTCTTACTTTAAAATATACTTTCTCAGTAAATTATGATGTCAAGAAACTGATGTATAAACAGTATAGTATTGTATTTTTCATTTTGTACGGCTGTCGGGCTTGTGGACATGTTCTCGCAAAGAAGGTTAACAAAAGAAATCTGAGAAAGATTCAACGGGAAATTCTTCTTCGTATTATTAGCGGTTATAGAACCTTAAGTTATGAGGTTACTTTTGTTCTTAAAGGAGTTCCGGCTATTGGTTTCGAAATTGAATATGAGAATAATATTTTCAAGGCATTGGCAACTGATACTTTGGAAGAGTACTTAAATGGAAATGGCCCTTTTCCTGTTGTTCCTCATCCAACTACTCTAAAGCCCAAAAATTTGTGTGATTATAAAAAGACTATTGAAATCAGCTTTCATTCGGTTTTCTTTACAGATGGCAACAAAATGAACAACAAGGCTGGGCTGGCATTCGTTTTTTGGAAGTTCATTCTGAGGTTTTTTATTTCCAACATCGCATGCGGAATGAATGGACATTTTTTCAAGCAGAACGTCTGTATATTTATATTATAAAGATAATGGAACAACATTATTCAAAGTACCTTATTTGTTCTGAGTTTCCTTTTTGAACAGTGTTACCAGCAGCTACAAATTAGTAAGTTCGCATAGGAATACAAGAATTGATCCGTTTTGCTTATGTGCATGCTTATTACGTATTCTATGGAAATGAAAGCACTGATTTCTTAGCTAAAGATGCCTTAAATTTACCCATTCATATCAATATTAGTACTCCAAAGACCTTATTGGAAGGTCTTTTCATTATAAGAAGCTTTTAGCTATGTGGAATGAGGAATATATTTCATCTTGTACTACTGACGGCATCAAAAAGTTCTTTCATTCTATTTACCATAGACTGCATTCCGAGTGTTTCCTCTCTATTAATTTTAAAGTTTCTCAGTATTTATCTGATCATGGTAAATTTGCAAGTTACCTGTTTCGTTTTTATCTAAGATCAAATAATTTATGTGAATGTTAAACAGCTTCTCTTGAGCAAATTGATGGAATTAAAGGTTGAATTCAAATGTATTTTTTATGCATTTCTATGATACTAATTATCAGAATAATAAGGAAACTAATTCTATTCTAGAGCTTATTGTATTTTTATTTAACATCTTATTATTAATTTTTTAATAATTTAAATGATTCTACTCAAATGCTAATATAAAAAATTATTATATATTACTGGAGAATATTGAGAGGATTTTAACATAAAAAGCGATTTACATTAAAAATGTAACAAAACAAACCTTATGCTGATGCCAGAAGTTTCTGCAGAAGCCAATTTAATCACTACTTCTGGACCTCTTGATTTTAAAATTTCAAAGGGTATACTTATTACAGGAGCTATATAAGTTAAATAATCTTTAATTAGGATATCTTTAGACACAAGTATAAAATTCAGTTTATTAGAAAGGAATTTGTATGAATCAGAAATGAGTATAAATATCAAAAATATATATCAATTAAAAAGATCAACAGCAAGTAAATAAATTATTTCGACACAGACTCCTGCAGTTTAAGGTGTTTTAGCTTGACAAGCACAAAAAAATTCTGGTAAACTTCATTATCAGGAAAATTATCTAAATATACTAGCCTGTTTTCTTTGTTGAAGTCAGTAAATGCAGAGGGATTCCAAAACCAGCTTCATTTCCAGCTTGAATAAGAAGTGTAAATGATGTAGCTGGTAAAAGATTATCAAATAGAAATGTTCTAACTTTTTCGTTCAGAACTATATGTCTTTTGTAACCTATATATGATATGTTAAAACTGTCCACAGCAAGCAAAGTAATCTGTAAATTAGTGGAAAGATATCATCAATTGTTACTGTAAAATAATTTGAATATTATAACAGTGCTAAAATAATAAATGTCAAAATAAAACTTTCATTTGTCAGTAATAAATACTAGCAGTAAAAGGAAGCTTAATGCAGTTCAAATGATGAAAGGCCCTCTTTGGTTTTCAGTACGACATAAAAATTGTATTACAGAATAAGATTTGATCTTGAATGAAAAAGCATTTGCTGTCCCTTGAAATGTCTTTTTTGATAAAAATTAAGAGAATATAATCATTCAAGAGGAAGAAAAACCCTTAAAAGAATATAAAAAAGTAAAATATTAACTTACTTTATATTTGGTAAAATTATTTTTAATCATGGGTTCTTTCCATTTGACAACAAATGATGAATCTGTCTCTTGAAATACAAATCCAGTTTCAGGGGCTCCAGGGACTGAAATGAAAACAAAGCTTTAAATGACAAGTTACTTCAAAAGTAAATTCCCTTGGCAAAAACATGAATTTCAAAATTTAAGGTTGCATTTGCTTTACAATAAACTTATAACACATTCAGCAGCTTAAAAACCAAATACAGCATGGTATTACATGGAAGAAAACTATGCCAATTAAACTTGCCATTTAAAATTTGGTCTTAGATTTGCATCAGTTCTAGAGAAAAGCTCGGTACATTTTGACAGAATCTTACAATTTTCCCCTCTTTGAAAAGCATAAAGTATTTTCAAAACGCTACGTTATCTCAATACTGCATCTCTTAGCTTGGTTTGGGAAAATATATTATTTCTTTTATCTCAGGAGTTGAATGACAAAGATTTAATTAATTCAAAAAACTGATATTTCTCTCTGAATTGAAATGGATATAGGAGAACAAAACGAGAGTGGATATGGGAAAACATCGTAAAGGCCTCCCACGGCACTGCGGGCATTGGTTGAAGAGCCGAGGCGCTAAGTACGGATTGGTGAATCCTAGCATCCAACAAATAACATCTTCAATATCAGCCGATCCAGATCCGTGGAGTGATGGAAAAAATCAGAGAAGATCAATTGGCGATCCTGACATTCAGCTAATAATAGAGCTGAAGGAGTCATCCAGTACCAAACCACCCAAGTGGCAGGACATTTTCATCTTCAGCCCAACAACTTAAAGGTACTGGTATCTCTGGGACTCACTCCACTTCCTAAATGGAATCTTATATCGACTACACGGGAAAGCGAGGATGGAACTAATAAGAAATGGCAGTTGCTATTTCCTCGAAACCGAATACCTGATGTTCTGAAGGGAATACGCAGCAGCCCTATAGGAGGGCGTTTCGGCTATATGAAAATACTAAACAAGGTTCGAGAGCGCTTCTTCTAGAGTTCGGCGAGAATCGGTGTTGAGAAGTGATGCCAATTTTATGATGCTTGCGTAACCAAGAAAGGACCGAAGGAACGCAGTGGAGCGATACAATGAATTAAAGCCTTTCGAGCGAAGTGCCCTCGACATACGTACTTGGACTTTTTCCACGGACCTTGGATGGCAACAAATACATCCTTGTTGGCATGGATTATTTTACGAAGTGGTCTGAAGCATACCCAATTTCAGACCAAGAGGATGTCAATACAGCTGAAGTTCTGTTACAGAACTGCGTGCCCGGGTTTGGGAACAGAACCTGCGTATCCGGGTTTCTCTAGATTCATTCCGACCAAGGCAGGAACTTTACTTCGGCTGCGTTTAAGGGACTCTGCGACTTATTCGAAATCAATAAAATGCAGACGACCCTATTACATCCGCAGTCTGATGGCACGGTGGAGAGGTTTAACCGTACAATCCTGAACCACCTCTCCCTCATTGTTTCCAAGAACCAAGAAGACTGGGATCGCGCGCTGCTCCTGTTCCTACTTGTTTACCGTAGTGCCGCCCACGAGAGCACCGGCTTTTCTCCATTCCAGATGCTCTTCGGCCGCCCACCGGATGTACATTCCTCATCTGAGAAATACATGCAAGACTTCCAGGCCCGGCTGGAAACAGGTTTGCTCGAGAGCAGATCAACATCTCGACGGACAAGATGAAGAAGAGATACGACGCAAGAGCCATCGAACATCAGTTCCAGGAAAACGACAAGGTGTGGCTGTGGAATCTCAGTCGTCGTAAGGGTATTTCTTCCAAAGTGCAATCACAATGGGAGGGTCCCAATACAGTCTCCAACAGACCGAACGAAGACATAATACGGATCCGTAAGACGTGATACGGATTCTCATCCTTAGGGGTACCCATAATTATTATAGATTAATTTTCCTATACAATTTGTGTATATTGTTTGTATGTAGTTACTTGTAAATAGTGTAAGTATTTGTTTTTTTTCTTTTGCTTATTTTATTATTATTATTTTTTGTTATCCTTTGTTTGAATTGAATTTGGTTTCTGACCAAGGATCCTTGGGATCCTTTGCAGTCCTTGGGAGGGGGCAGTGTTGCGAAATGCCCAGTTGCGGTAAAATAGCCTTCCAGCAAAAGGGATTTAGTGTTGCCAGGAAATCGTAAAGAAAAGCAGGGTTGCCAGATTTGGAGCGAAATCTCCCATTTGGCGAGACAAAACTGGTGATATGGCATAGACGGAACGAGAACATTCTAGAACGAATTCTTACCGGTTTTCCCCAGAATGTTCCTGAAGGCAGGCCAAAAAGCTATAAATACCTTTATCGTGAAGATTATCTTGAGTGTATCAAGTTCAGAGATTAGTTTGAGAGCGATCGATTGAGTCGGGAGCTGCAATTTAGTGCTTTCTATGAAGCTCTCTTCACCGTTATAGTCTTATAGCCCGAAGGCTGTGTTGCTGATTGTTTCAGCGTGTTTATCCGTTTTTTTACGACTGTAAAGCGTCTTTGGAAATGTCCTGTGCAATACTGACGAATAAACTATATTTTTATTCCCCATTTTATTCCCTATCAAGTCTTGTCATCAACCACTCCAAATCCAAGAACTCGCAGAACGTAGCAATACATGCGCATTTTTTAAAAAATTGAGAAAATCAAGATCACTTACCGTCACCTTTAACAGTTACAGTTCTAAAATCTGAGCAGATGATATCTTCTGATCTTTCGTCCATAGGCGAAAGACATATCTGAATTTGCCATGTCATAAAGATGTCCGATAAGAATGAATAAAATAAACCCTTTGTTGTATTTTTTATACTAATATTTGACTGGCTTTCATTGAGAATAATCACACTTTCAATATCCCAACAATTCCATTTTTCTGCTGGTGGAATCTAAAAAAAGAATGTAAAAGAAATAAGAGAACTTTTAATATATTACACAGAATTCTGATTAAAAGAATAAATAAATTTATAACACATTTAATTTTTCTTGTATTAAAATATTTAGAGCATATAAAAATTGATTATTATAATTACTATAATATACTTTTATGGACTAATAGTGAATATTTCTAATGAAAAGATATTCTTTAAATGATAAAATAATCATAAAGAAATATGTAAAGCTAGAAAATAAACTTCTTGTTACTTGTAATATACTATAATATCGTTATATCAGACTTAAAAAACATAATTTCATAAATAACAATAAAATAATACTTTTAAAAGATTTATTGATATTTTTAATTTTTCTAAACATTGAAAAATTTAATTTGAAAGGATGATTGTGGTGGGGAAAGGAAAAATTTTACATCTAGCAAGAAACGATATTAGAAAACAGTTTCATATCAATATCTTAACTCTTCAGATAATGTCTGAAAATACTACAAATATAAAAAATGTATATGTGTGTACATAGTTTCAAGAATTGAAAATGAATTTTTTCTTATTACTTACAGTTATTCAAAATTAGCTTCCTTTAAAAAATATAATTTGTAGATTAAGAGTTTCTACATATTGTCATTGAAGTATTTGCCTAAAAACACTCAGTCAATCAGTTCGACAACCAATAATTTTTATAAGTATCAACCAACAACTTTATGAATATTAACTTGTGTATCCAAAATTAAAATTAAATCTAATATGCCTATAATATTTTTAAATTGTTCTGAATAAAGTTATTTTTGCATGAACTAACGACAGATTTGGCTTTTGAATTCATTAATAAAAATATTTTTGACTTTATTGTGAATTTCCTCTTTTTACCTTTATAACATAACATTTGATTGACTGAAAACTTACGGTTTAATTTGATATGCCAAAGGCCAACTCGGCCAGTATGTTGGTTAGTGAAAGCAGGATGATGGCCTAGATATCTCAGATAATGTATGGATATTTTTAAAGAATTTTTTTGAAACAGAAGCACCATAGATCTGTCAGTTCAAAAATCTTCTCAAGAAATAAGTAGTTAAAGATGAGGTGGTGAGGATTTCTTAGTTAAAGCAGGAAGGAGTTTAGTTCACTATTTATTGGCTAATAGCCTTTGCATATTTCAGCGTGATTAAGTAATCTTAATATGCAAGAAAAATACAGCTTCCGAGAAGTTGTTACTTAGATAATTGTTATTTAGAAGAAAAAATAATCTGACTAATAATATGATTTAGAAAGTTTCATTCAGTTAGTCCCTGTGTTTCTGGAAAAGTATGCCTTTCTGTGATGCTAAGTACAGTATGCTGGAAAAGTATGTTATTCTGTATTATTCATGGAAAAATCTAAAACTACCAAATCAAAGATATTTCTTTATTTTCTAGAGCACATTTGTCAGCAAACAAATATCATACTGCAATAATCAGGAATATCACCTACAACGCACATGATTATATCCAGGTGCACAAATCCGATTGTATCAGATTCTTTATTCTTTTTATATGGATAAAATCAGGCAAATAATGCCTGGTGTCCATATAGACAGAATATAATTTTTTAAAAATATACAGACAAGCATTATGCTCTACAAACATGCCATACCATAAAAGTGCCTAATAAGAAAGAATAAATTATAGAATCAATAGATGGATTGATCATATATATATATATACATATAGAGATGGATTCATATGTGAAGTAAGACTTAACAAAGAGGTTACGATTACTTACTTTCCAATTTAAGTTTATTTTTCTGCCATCAGTATAAAACTGGATATTTGTAGGAGGAGATAATGGCCCTTAAAATAAAATAAAAACTCAGTCTCATTAATTCAAACCTAATAAGCATTTGATTAATAATCAAATTTAGCGGCCTATTTATACAGCTTTGCGGTCTTATAAGTAAAAGACTAAAACTAATCACTTTTCTGTTTTTTTTTTTTTTTTTTTTCTAGGGGAGAGGACATTGTGTTCAAGGAATGTCTGATCCAAGAATTTTGTTATAATATAATCTAGAAACTTCACTATGGTTTAGAAAATCTAATTAGAGAACCCGCTTAATTTCAGTCCCAGAAATCTTACAAATGAAACTGACTACAAATTGATAAAATATTCATAATGTTTTTTCAATTAAAAAAAACTAAAATTGTTGTATTTACTCAAAAGTAATATCCACTTTTTTGGTTATACTTTTGTTCTAAAATTTCGTAAAATATCTTTTATAAATAGATATTTTGGTAAATGAAATTGCATATAGAGAGCAGTAAGTTTAATTATCATACTATGTAGAATAAGTACATTCTTTAAAAAAATGCACTGCATACAGATGGTGCTTACACATTTTTAGAAAGATTTCGATAAATAATTTTTAAAAGAACAAATGTTTTGAAATAAATACATTTTGCAAGAGCTTATTATTTGAAATGAGAAATATTGGTCGCTACATTCAAATTTATTCTTCTTTCAGAATGTCACATATAAACAAACTGTGGCTTGAAAGATATTTTTTGCCTTTTTCGAAGAGAAATATTTTTTTCGTAATTCAAAAATGTTGTGAGATGCATGATGTTAAAACTTTTAAGTGCAAAATAAGCGACATTATTAATCAGAAAGGGAAAAGCCATCAATCATTTTATCTACATGGAAAAAAATTCCAAATGAATACCGAAAAAGTACATACTAATAATACAGTACACACATAATGCTTCTGAAGTTAAATAATTGGTAACAAGAGAATATCCGACGACGCAGAAATCAATTGCAAAGTCTTTAAATACATCTGTAGCAACAATAAATAAAATAATAAAGTAAGATTTACAACTTTAAAAAGTTAAAAAGCGTAATGTTGGCCAGCTTTTGCTGTGGCATGTGGCTCAAACACAGAACAATTTGTACGAAAATTATTTAGCATGAGATAAATGGAAATACATTGCGATCCTTGAAGAAGCATAGGTTTACCAAAATAACTGCAAAAAAAAAAAAGTCTGTTTATTATTGAAAATAAAAAGAAAATAATGTACATATCTGGTTCCGTCAATGCAAAGACAGTTTCAATAAGGGGTTTATGATTGTCGCAGGATTCTCTTACAATGGCCCAATGTATGTGTACATAGCCCAATGTATGTGTACCTATATATCCATATATATGTATTTATTTATCTACCCCAGTATGTGTAATGTGTATCTAATAGATGACTATGCATATCCAAGTCAACTATTTATAATAATTATGTGTGTGTAACGTGTATGCATAGTCATCTATTAGTGTGTAATAACTTACTAACCTAGGCTGTATATAATACACTCAATGCGCAATGCATATTCATTGTGTATCGAACGTATGCGTATTATTCATGCAAATATATATCCCTGTATGTATATCTAATATAGGTGACATTATTTATCGAAGTCAAACCATTATTATAATCTTCATTATATGTTTCTAAGTATGCGTATTTGCTCAATCATGTTTATGAATTAATTTAATTACCCCAATTAGTGTAACGTCTGGATGTACTTTCTAATGCATAATGCGTCTCCAACGTGCATTTAATGTATGCATATTTATTTATCCCTGAATCAGTATTTCTTTACTTATCAATGCATGTATGATGTTAGTGTAATCCAAGTTATAGGTGATTTTATATATCCAAGACAAATCATTACGATCATAACATTTTGCGACGAGTACTGTATTTTCTACTACTATGTCCTAATATATCCTGAACCGCATAATGTTATGTATTTACCCTGTATTATATTAAGTAGCTACTGCATATATATGTAATGTATATAATCAGTGTTATATCATGCGTATCAGTGTTCATATTTCTGTGCATATTTTAATGCATATTTTAAACGTACTTCAAGATATATTTTAAGCAAGTCATATATTGTCAAAGTATTATTCAATGTAACAATATGTGTAACTATAATTTGTGCGGTTAATTATAACTGTTATCAAGGTTACCGTAAGAAATCTTGTAATATATATCTTGGACGACGTATAAGACACTGTATTTATATATATTATCAATGCATACTAAATTAGCGAGGCGCCAGTGTGCCGCCCTCTTGACATCTGGGGCTCTTCTATTAATGGTGGACGTGGTGCTATACTGATTAACCAGTATGGTAGAGGCGCAGTCCCCTGTCACTTGTACTTGTATTTCATCACAGTCAGAATATTAATAGAATTAATTTAATTAAAACATATGCGAAACTAAATTTCCCTTTTACCTTATTTTAAAAACAGTAATACCGTCTTTGCACAACAGTTAATGGTACTGTTATTTCAAGGAAACTCGGGAAGAAGGGAGCTCCACTAATGGTCAAATGGCCAAAAGGTTATGACCACCGAATACTGGGAGTTCGATAGCAAGCAAATGGGCTGGCTGCATGGTTGAGTTTTATGAAAACTAAATATTTTTATTTAGTTTTGTGCGAATACTCAGATGAGTTACTTAAGGAAATATGAGCAAATTGTTACTATTTCTCCACAATACATTACTACACTGAAAGAAAATAAATAAATGCATCTATGACTGAGTTTTAAATTTTATTAATATAGTGTGTACCATAAATAAAAGCCAGTTTCCTTTAGAACGTCCTCCATGAAGTCATCTCTTCCTTTAGATAAATGGTATTCACGTGCTTTGGCATATTCAAATAACCCTACATAATCTGAAGGAAGGGAGGAAAAATATTTCCTTTTTAAGAGTTACTGGAAGACAAAATAAACATTGGCCTAATTATTTTTTTTTCCTTAAAATTAATTTTAATATGTAAATAGGCTTATATTTGAGGGAATATTATTTTAGAGTAAATACGTTAAATATAATATTATAAGTAGGAAAAAAAGTGGTAGAATGCTGCAAGGTGAAGTTATTTTGTCTTCATTTAATAGGTAGTTGCAAAAATTACTCCCTGGAAACTTCCCAATACACTTTTAAATTTGCCTATAAACTTTGAAATCAATATGCATGAATATTTTTATTTAATAAAAATAAATAAATGCTCTTTGAGCTAATACTCGGATGAGTTCCTTAACGAAAATATGAGCAAATTGCTACGATTTCTCTACAATATATTAGTACACCCTAAGATAATAAATATATGAGTTTTAAATTTTATTAATATGTGGAAAAGAATTTCAAATTTTCATAACAAAACCAACGTAGTTTCCAAGTTCACAGAACAAACAGTTTAACTTTCAGGGTTATATTCAAACTGAAAACATCTGAACCATTTTTAGTTGGCCCCTTAGCCATATGGCCCTTTAGCCATATGTTCACCATCTCCACTGCCATTTTGCAATTTTAGTATTGGAAGCGATCTTTACAACAGCGATCATTATCCCATTCTTTTATCTCTTGCACGAAGAGGTGCAAACCCCATGTCGAGACTCCCTCGGTTTAAACCGGATAGGGTAGACTGGGAACTCTTCTCTTCCTTTGCAGAGCTTATCAGGTTCAATGTTTCTTCTAACCTTCTTCGGAAACATACAATGACCTGACTAGAACAGAGAGCTTACTAAAGCTATGTTCACTAATTGTAGTAAGTAGACAGGATACAGACGAAGGGTATACAAAACCCTTTATTTTTTTCTTTATATACAATGACTTCCGTACTTCGGAATACAATGACCCTCCACTCGGGGTCTAACTTAAAAGATATCAAAATAAAACTAAACTCTAATTTAACTTTAGAATAAGATTGGCCTTATAATAACAGGAAAGCGTATGTAGCACAGAGACTGTGAACACTACAATACGTTTAATTTATCAAGAGGATTAAAACCTCTGGCCTGGAAGGCAAAGTAGCAACTGCGTAACTTCTAAGGTAAGCGGCCTGCTTCGAACTCACGGCTTCCTCTTTTTGCTTGGCAAAAAGGCCACACTTAAATACTTGGCTTTCGCCAGACAACTTTGCATAAACTCCTTCACGCTTATAATTCTGGCCGGAAGTAGAAAATAAGAAGTGATAGTAAAGATTTAAAATAAAATAAACGTTAGTAAAACTTAAGATCCTTACATACTTCCCGCCAGAGTTAATTAGTTTGAAACTGAGGTCTAAAACGACCTTGTTGAAAACTTTTAGCTCTAGAAACTAACGCGAGGCCAACCTTTTAACAATCATAACTTAGCTAGAAACTAGAAAATTTTAAAAGAAAGAAATTTTGTTACAATAGCAGCTCCCGGAATATACAACAATCTTTTTTCTTTTTCATCTGTACTGCATCAAAACAGGAGCTTTATTCAATTCTGGTTCCTTCCAGAGATCTGGAAGGAAAACTAGTTTAATGAAATGTTACAGAATGACATTGCAAATAACATATAGAATATACTTTTCTTAACATTCTTATTTCATTCATGACTATTTTAATTATCTCTCCCCGTGCTCTCTGACATGTGTTGTAAAAACACCAAACACGAATGTGTTTCTGTCTATGTGTTCAACACTTCCTCCTACAATCAAAACACTAACGTGTTAAAATTCAACATACGAGACCTCTTAACACACACCCTAATTTCAACTCTAGACCCTGAGGTACTATTCTGAAAGTGGCTAACTCTAAAGTGTAGCGTCAGAGAGCCTAACTACATCATTCAACCTTTAACACATATTCACCATGATTTAATCTTTACAGTCACACGAATAACAAATTTTTTTAACATTACTTTCACTTTTACCATATCACGGTATTTCTAAACATTCAAAATAACAGTTCACATGTATACAAGAACATATCAAGATGCCGTTAATTTTACACATTTGAAAACATACATTAGTAGTACAT